AAGAATTAGAATTTTCTAAGTTGCAAATAGGGGTGGACATTTCGGTTTAATTTCGAGTTCGGTTTGAGTTCGGTTCGGTTCGATTAAAATGTCCACCCCTAGTTGCAATGAGAAGACACCTTTTAGTAGTTTCATAGTGATGTTAGGATTTGGATCCTAATCTGATATTCAGAAAAATGTTAAAAACTAAAGTTTGGGAGAAAACAACAATTAATTTCTAAAACTTGTCTTCCACCATTTAAACAAATAAAATCTCAATATATATTATTAATCTCATTCCAACTGTGTCTTCGCTTTATAAATCTAGAACCTAAGTCAAGAAAAGCTCCAAAAAGATCAGTAGTAGTAGTTCTATAACTTACGATAGTTTGTGATATACGGACCAAACCTAGCTATCTTAATGTTAGCATGTCTAAGTGATAGAACAATTAGCAAAGTACAGAAATAATATAAAACCCTAGCAGAGGACGAAAAGCACTTCCATACTATATCCCTAATCTCTTGATTTTTTGTTTTCTTTGTATTAATTATTTTTAAATCCAACAACGTTACACTTCGTTTAGGAAAAAAAACCAGTGTAACAAAAAGTACTTCGGTTTGTGGCCATTACTTTGGCTCAACATTTACGATTAAGAAAACGTAACAAAATATATTCTACAAAAAGAAAATTGCTAAGATAAAAGTATCAAGATTCAACTCTAGAAAAAAGACAAAGAAGATAAAGTTGATATTTATAAAGTGAAGACCAAAGGGGAAGAAGAGGTCGATCACTTGTTTTGTAGGGCTTCCATGCACATGCTATTGCCTCCCCCTCGATATTTTTCTTATATTCAAAGTTAATAATTATATTAAGATTTTTTTCTCAATTATTGAGTTTTTATATATATTAGTGAAGGAAACTACTAGAAAAATTACTTTAAATTATTTATGTAAATATATGCTTGTTGGTATTCCAATATTTTTAAAATTCGTTTAACAATTCATAAACTAAAGTTATTATTTGGCTTTTCTGAACACCATTTTCTCTAGTATATATTCTAATAAACTTCTAGTTTTTTTTTTCTTTTCCGTCAAAGTAACTTATATTAATTGAAAAGATCATTATACAAATCTTTTACAATCCAAGAAAGAGGATTAGTACTATCTGAATAAAAGTTGGACCTTAGACTTTCAAATTGAGCCAAACTATGAGCTACTTTATTACAACAACGATTGATATAAGCAAAACGTATTTCTTGAAACTTTGTTGCCTAAAATTTGATGTCGAGTATAGGAGACCTGCAAGAGATGCATATGATGATGAACCATTGTTGATGCTATTTATTAGGATTTCACAGTCTCCTTCAAAGTAAACGTTCATGAACTTCTAGTTTGTCTCCTTATTTTTGTTGCTATTTGAAAAAATTGATAAAAGAGTATAATTAATAACTAGTTTATATGTTAGAAAATATAAGGTCCCTCAAACCATGATGTGTTGTTTCAGTCACCACGAATCTAACATATTCTTTTTGCTCGAAATAATTAGTCTGTTACTTAGACATTTTCAAATTCATATTTAATTGTAACTACACATTGTATCTATTAATTGTTTATTGCTTTAAAGGAGAATGATTGATGGTCTATGTAATAGTGGACCAGTACCTAAATAATTAATCGATTGATGTGCAATTGGATAATGCATGAAATTCCGTGATTCTTTGCTTTACTCCTAAATCGTTAGGGCTGTAACACGTGTCAGCCTAGGATTCACTAAACAGTTCTAAATATCTAGTCTAGTTTTCTTTTAAAAGAACTGTTTATAGCAAATAACTTCCAGCAAGAGTTGTACACACATTCAACATATTACCATTACGACTCTATCCAAGTCTATAGAAGATTGGAGTCGTTAGAGGCTAATTAGGCAATTTACATTATTGTTGTCAGACTGATGAAGATTGAATGTTGTCACACTTTGAGCAGAATGAGCAACAATTTTCTTGGATCAAATAGTTTTAGTTTATAAATTCATTAACATACATGTATAGCCAATGCTCTAGCTTCTTTAAAGCTTAATTTGAAAAACTGATTGTGAATGAAACTGACACATCATAGGTTCTCATAATTTTCATCCCGTAGTATTTGGCACTCTGACCAATTGTGTTGTCTTTTTATGACCTAAACGATGAAGTATCTTCGGAATGATAACACTCTTTTTGTTCTTCCGTGAACCATTCTAACTATGTTAGTATTTGAGAAATGCTCATTTGCTACAAATTGGCGAAGAAAATAGTTTAACTCCAAACACCAATGAACAACCTATCTACATTCACCAAAAATCGAACACTACCGACGTTTGGACTAACATCACTTCTCTAAGTAAACTGTTAGGTGGATCCTGAAAATTTGAATCGAAGACAGATAGAAACAAGATTATTATTTTTGTAAACAATAGGAATAGTTAGTTGACAAAAAAAATGAAATCTTAGTATACATAATGATATCCATTGTTATGAATAATGTGATAATAATTGTTTGTGACATGTTCTTAACTTTTTTGTATGAGATGTGAGCTTAATCAGCTGTCGTTTTATTTTCCATGTGAACCAATATCTCCCATACGGCTCACATAAGATTCGATCAAGTAATGCGAATTATTTTACGGTATATTAAATTAATAATCCCCAGATTATTTTTAAAATATTTCCATCACTCTTACATTTCCACTTAAATTATTGTGATAAAGATATATAGAATCTTTAGGTAGATTTGATTAACGAAAGTTTATATGTTTTAGTATAGTATGTAATTAACGCCAATAGATAATGAGGTTCAACGAATCTAACGAATCAATCGGCGGATTCAGTTAATCAACTGAGTTTAAAAATCGGCGCATTTGATTTAGCTAATCTGTTAACATTAATTAAATAATCTAAATGGTTAACTTAAAGTATGAAATACCAGGGTTACACAAATATGAAGTAAACTCAATCAACACATATTCTAAAACTTATACATATTGATTTAGCTAATCAATTAACATGAGTTAATCCACAATTGTTTTTTGGGGTGAAATGCCTATTAACTTAATCTTCTTTTTTTTTTTTTGGGCAAAGCTATAAACTTAATCTACATTGGACATTCTACAAGACGATGTCGATATTTTTTAGCAGTTTCAACTCATATAAATTGTTAATTATCCATAGAATTCGATTTAAAAACCACTATTCTTTTATATCAACAATATGACGAGATACGTTTTTGACCAATTATGTTTGTGATGCTTAAATTCAACTTCATACAAGATAGTGTTTGCATAGTTATAAAAGAAATTGGTGTTGCATGCCAAGAAATAAAGAAACAAATGATTGTCTTTTATACAAATTTGCGGATAGGCCAAAACCGATCTGATTGGTGGTTGGTGAACCGACGCCGCTCTCGTCGTATGATGTACATGCAATGTATGTATGCATAGCATAGCATAGCATTTTTTTTAGGAAGACTTTATTATACACTCTCATATTTTTTGGTCTAACATAATGGGAAAATGCGTTTTTATAACTATAGAATATGTAATTAGATAAATGAATGCATTTTACAAATAGTCACATGTTTGTTTTGTATTGTAGCTTCCTAGATAACATAAGTTATATATAATGATTCTTAATAATATTCAACTTAATTAAATTGGGCCATCATCTTCGTCCAACACATGCTTTTAACTTATGAATAAACTAAATATAATATAGATATATATATATATATATAAATTAGAGAAATATATTAAATAACTAAATGTTTCATGTTTATCTGGTATCATGAAGAGATTTCATATGTATTCAATCTCATTTATTTTGAAGTATCAAATAAATTATACGAATTTAATACATAATAAATCTCATTAGAGTTAAAAACTTTTGTCAGCATATAAAATTGATGAGTTAAGACTAATTTTACTAGTGTTATTGTAAGGTATCAAACATTACAAAATTAAATGGTGTACGCAAACGACGCATGGATGATGATATGTAAGCATTATAAGAGATAAACAAAATTGTAGCGCTAAATTTTACACTGTTTTCACTTTCTCTATTAAAACAAAAAAAGAATAATGTAATTTTTTGAATTGAAAATACAAACAACTATTTATTTTCCAACGATGAAACACATAAATTATTTTTCTATCAAAGTAAATTTTATTATAAAAATAGTGAATTTAAAATGAATAGAATTATATATTAATGAAAAAAAATTTTAAAAAGAAAACTAAAATTCAAGTGTATATTGAGCGAGTCTACCTTAAATGGAAGACGTGAAGTAAGAAAAAGTCGGAAGACTTCGCAAAGATGATTAGTTCTGTAAATTAATTAATAGTCAATCATAGATTAGATAGTTTAGCTGGCCAAATCACTTTTTCTTCAAATCAAAATCTCCTTTTAACCCAATCTTTAACAACTAAAATTGACAAGCTATCAAGTATCAACAACATATATACATACATCAACCCTCTGTCATAATCTCCCTCAAATCACTAATTATGAGTATCATAATAATCCCTCAATTAAATTATCTTTAAAACGCTAGAATAAACAAAAATCCCAAACATGCTTCTGGTTCCTGAATTTCTGCACAATATCCGCCGAAAATATATTTTATACTAAAGCTTTTGCAGTTAAAAAGTTACCCAATTTGCAAAAAACAATTTAAGTCAAAACTAAACGATTAAAGACCAAACACCAACACCAACAACTATTAAGCCAGTTTTATTTTATAACTCAAAAAACTGATATACATTTTAAGGTTTATATTTTCAATTTTGTTATTGAAATTGTAGAATCACAGAATAACTAAACATCAATTTAAATAATTCCGCAATTCGAATAGGTTTTGTAATTGATAAAAACTTTGCAGAATCACATATCTATAATACAAATTATAAACAACAATTAAAAAGAATTTCAAGAAACTAATATTGTTGTTCCCTTTTCTAATACAAAACATGTAAATGATCAAACTAATAATTTGCAAAACCAAAAAAAAAAAAAGCTTAACAAAAATAATGATCTCAACCTCTATACAATGGAGACCGTTGTTGAAATATCATCTTCGAGACTCTTGATTGCCGGAAAACCTTAATCGGACTCGGAAAATTCCAACCTTTACCCTTTCCAGTCGCCGGAACCGGAACCGGAACCGGAGAAAATCCCGATTCACCGGCGACCGCTATGGATCTTGATTTCCTCATAACCGCCGGTTTAGTATCTCCTCTGTTTCCCATAAACATCCTCCAAAACGACGACGTTTTCTTACTCCTACCGGAATCAATAACCGAATCCGGTTTAATCGGAACCGCCATAGATTTCGATCTCCTAAACGCCGGTTCGCATTCAATCAAACTCGCGACTCGTCCCACCGATCCAACCCCTGAGAAAGTAAAACTAACATCTCCGGCGAAGATAGAGAACGATGAGGAAGACGAAGAAGACGACGGAGAGAAAGATACGGCGGCGCGTGAGCTACACGAACAAGGAAGATCGTGAGCACAATCTGGACAAAGAGAAGAGAGACGTTCGTAAAGACAAAATGGACAAACGCCTCCGCCGCTAAAATAACCGCGTTTCGAAAAGTGTTTTGAACATTGTGAAAAACCATCTTCGTCCATGTTTTCGCGATTTGATTCAGAGAATTTTTCTTGTTTCTTCAGTTTCTCGGAGTTTGAAGAAGTGAGAGAGTCGAAAGAGAGAGTTTTTATAAAGGCTTTTGCGTTTTAATTACGGTTAAATTATTACTGCGTTTGGTTATTTACATTAACCTTTATGGTTTAACTTAGAAGTGTATAAATATAATCATTATGACATTGATTAACGAAACGGTGCGTTGCATTTAACTACTTGAAAATTGAAATAGCTCATTGGGTTGATGGTTATTTACGTTTGTACCATCGTCAATATGGAACCATTCAGTTCATTCACGTGTGGCATGACTTTACATTATTAATTTCTATCTCTTTCCTCTAGTGATTTATGAACGTATAAATCGAACAAATTGAATTTGAATCGAATTTTAAACGAATCTGAATTCAATTTTATTATATTTTTAAAAACATATGAAATATTTGTATTGATATTTTTAAATCTTAAATCAAAACTCATACATGTGGAACGTTATCAACTTTTACTATTTAAAACATCTACAAAGTTTAACCATGATAAAAATCACAACTAAATTTACTAACTATTAAATCAGAAAATTGATCATAGGTTGTTCTCTGCTGGTGACATACAATTTTAGTTATCAAAAAATTGTAAGCTCGTATTTTTAGAGGAATTGAGGGCTTATCTCGAGTGCGGTGTTCTTGCGGTAAAATTATTGGTTATTGGAGTCCTTCTCCTCCAACGTCTAATTCTTTTGTTGTTTCACTCTCGTTTTATAGTTTTATATTGTATTGTTTTTTGTAGTAGTTTTCGGTCTTCTGATCTCTTTGTTGAATCTTTGTATTCTGTTAAAAACTTAAAATGATATAAAACTTAACATTTTATAATAAATAAATAAAAAGACAGTATTTTCATATATTCTGATTAAAATATAGGATAGTACCGATAGTTATAGATCAATATTGTTTTCTAAAAATGAGCTATACCGATATTTATAGATCAATATTTTTTCTGAGAATGAGCTAAACGCAAACTTTAACAACGAGAAATTTCTTATAAATCAAAATTGAACTTTGTTTCAATTCAATGAAATTTTTTGAACCTGTTAAATTTTTTGAATTTAGTAGAACAGAATTGAATAGCCACCTTTGATTTTAAAAATTCAAAAAATATTTTGTGGATTGAATGATCTGAAAAATATTAAAATGGAATACAGGAGTCCACGAATCAAAATATTTGACGTGTAGAAATAAAAGCATGTATGTGCTTAGAAAAAGACAGTTCCGAGTTATGGAGACAAGCTTACTTACAAAGAAAGAGACCTGACCAACTAAAGATTTAGATCATGGCCACTTGGTTTATAGGCAAAAACTGTAATAAGAAAAGTTGTTGAAGTAAAATGGAACACGTAAGGTTCGAAGAAAACAAATCTAATTTGCTGGTTCAGATTTCTGAACCCTTTTTGATTAAATTTTAGTTTTTGACAAAACTCACTACTTCAATATATCCTCGTAGAACTTCAGAATTAGATAAATCTAAGTTTATTATTGTTAAGTCAATTAGTAGAGTGTTTGTGCTACTAAATTTGAGTTTAAATTCGCCGGTCTAAAGAGATGTTACATCATTCTTAAAAGATATTAAGTGATGATTTAAGTTGTAATATTGTGATAGTTTTATTTAATTTATGTTGTTAATGCTCTTAAATCTCTATGGTCGAGTTATTTGCCATGTTCCATTAGAATTTGGTTATTGATATGATTCAGTGGGCTTTGTCGCTAGATATTTAAATGAACAAAAATAGATTATTTCTATTATAATAAATTGGCTCTCACTAACAGATACAGCTAGGAAATGGGCCTCAAAATCTTCTTATTTCTGGGCCAAACGTTCAACAAAAATAGTTATAATTTCTATTATAATAAAATTTAAAAAGCTAACAGAGCTTGATTACAAAAATAGATATGGGCCTATTAATCTTTCACAGTTACGGCGACATTGTCGACCTATATTTTTTCGTCAACTAAAATTCTCTTGTTTTCTTTCATTATGTACTTTTTTTTGGTAAAACTATAGTGTTTGTGTAGTTTGTTTGTTAAAAGAGAATTGTTTGATAAAGTTACCGATGATGTTTAGTGATGAAAAGGTTCGAGATAAAAAACATCCATATTCTCGAACCTTTTCATCACTAAACATCATCGGTAACTTTATCAAACAATTCTCTTTTAACAAACAAACTACAATGTGTCTAACTGGTGATAACTTTATAGATGTTTTTTATTATAAGATTTATTTTTACTGACATGTTTCTATAGTCTTATCTTAATTAAAATTTAGCTATCAATGTGTCTAACTGGTGATAATAAATGATAGTAAATGTGATGGTCTAACTATAATATTAATCAGCTAAAGATGGAGGTATATTGATATACAATAAATAATCTTTCAATTCTATTTTATAAAAATAAGATAAATATTAGTTAATCATTTACTATAAATAAACATTTATTTTTCCAACTAAGCATTATAAAATTTTACTGCGATAGAAAAAAAAACATTATCCTTACCTCCTCAAAATAGAAAAATACTTGGGTTCACCCCTAGGGGTGAACCTTTATATTCACCCCCTTTATTTCTCCCAATCATAATCTGCCACCTAATAATAATAACTTTTTTTTATTTAATTATAAAATTTAATTTGCCACTAAAACGAAATTATGTATCGGTTTGGGTTTATTAGAAAAGGTTAGGGTTTAGATTTTATGAATAAACAAGGTTAAATATCGGTTTGGGTTTATAAACGGGTTTAGATTTTACAATTAAACGAGATTAAATGTCGGTTTGGGTTTAGAAAGTACGATTATGGTTTAGATTTTTTACGATTAAACGAGTTTAATTGGCGGTTTGGGTTTAGAAAGTACGATTAGGGTTTAGATTTTTTACGATTAAACAAGTTTAAATGGCGGTTTGGGTTTACAATGGAGAATTAAGGTTTAGATTTTGTAATTAAACGAGATTATTTATCGGTTTAAATTTATAAAAGAATGGTTAGGGATTAGATTTAAAAATTAAATGAGTTTAATTTTTTTTTTATGTAGCGAATTCTGATTGGTTAAAATAAAAGGGGGTGAATAAAAGGATTCACCCTTTAGGGGTGAACCCAAATATTGCTCCTCAAAATATAGGCCTATATTTTATTATTTTTATACAATTTTGATTTAGTAAAATTATTTTGTACAACCAAACTTTATTGGTAAAATAATTGATGGTACACTACACTCAAACAAAACCAAAGATTTTTTGGTTCGGAAATTTTACCTGAAAAAAAAGTAGAGAAAAGCAAAGAGACAAAATCAGATTACAAGTGGGTTATGCGCTACGTGGCGTTCAGAAAAGTCATAATGCCACTTCCTTCACTTCCACTTCCACACAAGTTGCTGAATCGGCCAACAACGTTTCGCGACAAAATTTAACAACACATTCACTTTCTCAGTTTTAACATGTGGCAATCATCCAAGCCTCCAGATCATCTTCGCCGGTCCACATATGGTTAAGCACAAAACATATTTTCTCCTTTTATAGGCTGCTAACATATGTTATTAGAGTTGAGTTAAGTAGATGTTAATTGGTAAATATTGTTGGAACTCAATTTTTACAAAGTAGCTCCGGCCAACTTTCCGGCGACTTTTTCGGTGAAGTCCGTCACCGGAATGACCGGATATGCCGGAGCCACTTTTTAAAAATTGAGTTCCAACAAATATATAATTCTTAACTTTATTTTTAACGAATTTTTGTTGATTTCCTAAATTTAATCGCTAGTTTTTTTATTGATTTTGTCAGATTAGTCAAGTCGTAAAATCACCTTAAAGAAGAATTAACAGTTTTGTCAATCCACTTATCGATGGAACTAATTTGACAAAATCAACAAAAGTTAGTAATTATAATACACTAGAAAATAACTCATGCTAGATTTAGCAATATATATATACTATTAATTGGGAAGCATTGGATAATAATTAACCTTATAAAGGGTAAAGAATTACAAAGGATGCCATTACAAATTTTTAATTCTATGACTAAATAAAAGAAATCGTTGAAGGGTAAAATGGACATTTACGCACTCTGAACGACGCGGATCTTGGATCATTATTCGGATCCCCATTTGGTAAAACGCGCGGATTCCGGGTACACAAACGGTAAAGCACGCGGATCCTGCAGAATAATCATATTGGGCTTTCGAGTAAATTAGCCCAATATTTAGCCTGATATTTATGGACGAGATCTACATGAATTCAAGTAAAAATAAATTAGATTAACTACCTTCACATATATTTCCATATCAAGCAAATTTAAAAATTCGAATTAGAAATTATCACTTCGTAAATATTTCCATATCAACACAAATCCCATATATTCCGTAGATTTAAAACTTAATTCGGAACATATTCGATTTCATTTATGATTGATTATTGCAACTAATAAAATCAGTATATATCCATATTTAGTTATTATTTTTTAATCACAAAAATCAAGGATATGTGTTGCATCAAATCGGAACAACTAAAGAAAATTCCTTAATCTATACATAATTTACGGAATGTTAGCAATTAAAATTTTAATAAATAAGATTCGATAGCTTCAAATATAATTCCATAACAAGAAAAACAATAAATTTGATTTATAAAAAATCAGTTCACCGATATTTTTATAACAACCGATATTTTGAAAATACAAAATCTCTTCAAATCTGTATATAGTTAATAATTTTACTAAAAAAAAGCTTTCATATCTAGATTCATATAGAAACAAATCAGGCATATACCTAAAATATGCTTTCTCTAAAATATATTCTTATGCCGAAATTCACTAAACCCTAACAAAATGCTACGACTTGAGTTTACTATAAATATAGTGTAAAGAATGGAATTGAAGACACACTCACCTTTAAAAAGCTTTCATATGTTCCCTTCATGACCCTTCTAAGAAAATGGCAGCACCACTAGCATGCACCGATCTTGCATGCTTCTTACTATAGGTAATGATGATCATCAAGAGAAATGATCAATAATGTAAT